AGGCCTGGCCTAGGCTGGAGCTTACCTACCCACAATGCCGGGAATCCATGGAAACCTGAAGAAACCTCCAGCCTTTAGGGCCTACTGGGATCTCGCTACAGTGACATTCGCCCTGAAGGCAGTGGACACTCTGATCTGTCCCTACCCCAGGCAAGTTTATTATTACCTTAAATGAGAGCCCTAACCTACCAGCTCCAAGGCTTAAGGGAACAGGAAGAACTACATCCTCGAGGGTCAGAGAGACTGAAGAAAGCAAAGCTACAGATCAGAGGGAACATGATGAGGATCAGTGCCTGGGCCTTCTCCATCTTCTGGATTTGGGTTTCTTGGGAAATACCCAGAGGCGGGGAGAGGAATAAAGAGCTCACTAGAATAAAGCCATGCACTCCCTCCGCGCTCCTCCAGAGACAATGCTCTTGGTTGGTCTGGAACGTCCTCCCCACCTTCCTCTTCATCCTCTAGACCCTCAGCTTGGTCCTCCACACGCCAGATGCCATCACAGACTCTGAGCTCCCTCCCACTTTGCTCTTGGCTTCACCTGGAGGGGAGAGGGGGGGCTGCATCCTCCCAGGTTGACACTGCCTCCCTGCGTGCAGGTATCCCTTCCAGATACTGATTTCATCTCCTTTGGATATATATATACCCAGAAGTGGGACTGCTGAATCATATGGGAGTTCTATTTTTAATTTTTTGAGGAATCTCCACACTGTTTTCCACAGTGGCTGTACGAATTTACATTCCCACCAACAGTGGGAATTTCCCCCAGAATTATTCGCAGTAGCCAAGATGTGAAAACAACAGCGACAGATGAATGGATAAAGAAAATGTGGTCTATACACACAATGGAATATGATTCAGCCTTAAAAAAGAAAGAAATTCTGCCATTTGCAACAACGTGGACATACCTGGAGGACATTATGCTAAATGAAATAAGGCAGACAAATATTGCATGATCTTACTTACATGTGGAATCCAAAAATAAGAGTCAGACTCACAGTAACCGAGTAGATGAGTGGTTGGCAGAGTAGGGAGTACGGGAAAAGAGGAGATGGTGGTCAAAGAGTGCAAACTTGCAGTTAGAAGATGAGTAAGTTCTGGAGACCTAACGTACAGCACAGTGACTACTGTTGATCACAATGTATTGTACATTACTAGCAGAGTAGCTCTCAAGTGTTCTCACTACACACACAAACACACATGTACACACATAAGCATGCACACACACAAAAATGCACATACATTCATGCACAAATGCACACATGCACACACACACATGCAGGCACACACACATGCACACACAAACATACACACGAAAGGTGACTATGTGAGGATATGTTAACCACATTATACAACTTAAATATACAACTTAAATATATATAACTTTTATTTGTCAATCATTTCTCAATATAACTGGAGCAAAAAAGGACACTGCCTCCCCTCTGCCCTGCCCTACTGGGCCCAGCAGCTGGGAAAGGAACACAAAATGCTAGGTAAATGAATGAATGATTTTTTAAACAAAATATTTGTCCTTGATATGCCAATTGGCCTAGTCATCATAATTATAACTCTTGAGTATTTTTATGCTGTTAATTGCCCTGAAAATGCTTAAGTATTAATGACATTTTATAATCGATTTGGGAAATTGGCAGGAATTCCAGCAAGATCCTAGAAAGGGCTAGGAAATGGGGAGAGGGTCGCCTAAAAGAGTTCATGCAGTCAGCAGGCTGCATCTGCGCTGGTTATTGAGAACAAAAAGAGGCAGACCAAGACACAGGACCAGCCGGGTGCAGTGGCTCACACCTGTAATCTTAGCACTTTGGGAGGCCAAGGTGGGTGAATCGCTTGAGCTCAGGAGTTGGAGACTAGCCTGGACAACATGACGAAACCCCATCTCTACAAAAAACTAAGCAGGCGTGGTGGCATGCACCTGTAGTCCCAGCTACTCAGGAGACTGAGGTGGGAGAATGGGAGGATCACTTGAACATGGAAGGTGGAGGTTGCAATGAACCAAGATTGCACAACCTGGGTGAGAGAGCCAGACCCTGTTTCAAAAAAAAAAAAAAAAAAAAAAAAAGACACAGGCCCTCATATCAAGTTGATGTCACCCAAAACCCTTGGGACCTTTAATTTCCACAATTTATAAACCAATTTTCTCTTCAAAAAGGCACTCGATGACAATCACTCAAAGATCTGGGTCAAAAAAAAAAAAAGCTGATACTCAGAAATGACTTCAAGTATTCAGAACCAGGGAGGTGAGTTTCTTTAATCCACTGCACATTAAAAACTGATAAAGATTGCACATGAAAGAAATGGAAGAAATGGGTGCAAATATACTGGGGTTCTTTTTATAGTCCTGGAGTGTGAGAATGTTAATTAAAGGAATCTCAGAATTGGAGAGGATCTGAGAAAGGACAGAGTGAAAATTTAATTTTAGGTATTGTTTTATCAGATTTAAAAAAAGACAATTTCATTAGTTACTTGCAGTTATCTCAAGAACTTCATGAGCCCCCCAAAAAGCTCCAATTGAAACTGTAAACTGTAAGAGACCAATTTAATGAAAACCTCTCAGCCAAGTGAAGGACCTCTTAATGGTGAAGAACACAAATGAGCAAACCTGGGTGCATTAAATGAGCACAACAAAATATTAGGTATCATTAGAGTGTTGTTCTTCAAAGAGTCATACTTGTCCATTTTTTAAAACAAAAGTTTTTTAAAAAGGCACAGACAGAACTTAGCAGTTACATACACTGGCTCAAGCAAGAAGCTAGAAAACCTAGTCTCATTGCATATTTCAGCTTCCACCAAATGAACGTCCATTCTGTTACTCCTTTTCACACCTCGGTGAATAATAATACAGTTAATAACTAACTGCCATCTCTACCCTTCCTTGGGACCACATTCTGCTCAGCGGCTTTACACACAAGTTCTCTAGTCCTCTCAATGCCCTATGGGGAGGCATTGCTATTTCTATTTTGCAAGTGCAAAAACTGAGTTGCAGGATGGCTGAGCAAATTGCCCAACATCACTTAGCTAGTGAGTCGGAGAGCTGGGTCTCAAACCCAAGTCTGTCTGCTTCCTAGGTCAAGTCATTTGCACTGTGCCACCATACAGCAATTTGTAGAAGCATAAAGCAGGTATGAAACATATCCAAGGGAACCCAGCCAGATCAGACAGGGATGGCACACAGGTCCTTGTTCTTGGACTCTGCTCCTGAGCCACACTGTGTCCAAACCCTGACAGCCAGCAGGAGTGCTCTTGGCTTGTTCATGCCTGTAGCAGCCACATCCTTGAGTTGCAAGCAGAAGACACCCAATCCAGCCAACAAAAGCAAAGGGAATTTCTTGAAAGGACATTTAGGAGTCACAGAATTAGCAAGAAAGCTGGAACACCAGGCAGAAAGTGGGCAGCTCTAGAGACTGGTGAGCTACAGTGAACACTTCTCTTGCCAGAACAGATTGAGAAGGGATCTCTTTGTCTCTCTGCTCTGATTGTCTTGGCTTGGGTTAGAGAGTATCTACTGGGAAAAAGACAACTTCCAAAAAAGAAATCATGTTCCAGTAGCTGAACCACTGCAGTGCATATCTGTTAGGGGCACGATTAGCATAGACTGCAATGCACGGGGTGCATCCTCAGGCTGGGCAAAGCACCAGCATGACAAATGAATCCCGGGCAGGCTGTCCCTCTGAACCCTCTATATGTAACCACATATTAGTTACAGTGCCTACATGTGCTGCTCAGACAGGTTAAGTAAATTGCCCAATTAATGAAAAAAGAACTCAGATTCAAGCCCAGATAGTCTGACCGCTGGACATGTGCTCTTAGCCACGATGCTTGTTTGCAGTGCTGGGGAATCACAGGGGAGGCAGTAATCACTGAGGGGCTGGGCAAGGAGTCATCCTTCTTGCTGACTTCAATACTGATGTGGATAGCCCACCAAGCACTATAATGTCTCAGTTTATTCACCCCCTTACTTCCAACAACCATTTCCATCTTTACACCTCAACCACCATCTCTCATGTCAACCCTGGATATCTTAGAGCCTGTAAAAATACACCATTTCTGAAATCTAAATGTCAAGCCCTCTGCCATGTGGCTTCCTCATATCCTGCCAGCTCACCAATTCTAGCACCTTGACTGCAATAATAGAAACTCCATTCAATTCTCTCCCCGACTGTTACCATCAACAACTCCCTCCTGCCTTCACTTTCTTCCTTACCCATGTTAGATTCTATGGTCTATTGTTATAATCTTTTCCTTGCATCTAATCCAACAGCCTTGACTTTCTCTCCTTTTCATTCTTGTCCAGTGAAACTCCAACCCAACCACTGACTTTCAGTAGCACTGGAGCTACGGAATGTCTCTAAGAAAATATACATCTGGGCTGACTGGAGTATCTTTAAATTTATGGCCACAAACCTCAAGAAAAGCACTCAACACTGCCTAGAAATCTTACTATATTTCTCAAGTAAATTTCTTCCCCACTGTCCATGAATATTGTATTCCTCCTTTTGCTGCTCAACACAGCACAGGCCTTTGCCATCTAGTGCCCCCTACAAGTCTGTGGACTTCACTGCAAAAACCAAAGAGATCAGACAAGAGCACCACTATTGGTTTACTGGCCCATCTACAAACATATCTACACCTGAACTCATTCTGCTCTGTTTTCGCTCCTACAATTGTGGGAGTAATTTTCATGCTTCTCTCAAATACAGGAGGGAGTGTTAATAGCGTTCCTTTCCACCTTCTTAAACCCTTCATGTCTTCAGTTATTCCCTCTTCTGCAGCTTCAATCTCTCTTTCTACAAGATTATTCCTTTGGAACAACAAATATGGTACAGTATCTCCCATCTTGAACAAAGAAACAAACCACTCTTAATACCACACTCTCCTTCAGTTATCCTTTTTTTTTTTTTTGCTTTTGCTTCCTCTCATAACAAAACTCTTACTTCCTCACCTCCTTATATCTCTTCAGTCCACCCCATTCAGGCATCTGTACTCACCTCTCCAGTGTTCTTGTCAAGGTCATCAAATGACCTCCATGTTGCCAAATCCACTGCACAGTTCTGTTCTCATCTTACTCAAACTCTCAACAGCAGCATTCAGCATGGCTGGCAATACCCTCCTGTTTGAAAAACATTCATCTCCTGGCTTCCTTGTTCCTTCACTCTCTGGCTACCCTCTCACTCCACTGACCATCTCTTCTTAGTCTCCTTGGCTGGCTTCTCCTCAACCCAACCTCTGAATGTTGGAGGGCCTCAGGAGGTCCTGTCCTCTCCTCTGTTGATTAATTCTATCTCTTTGGGGTGAGGGGGGCATCTCATCCTGTCCCATGGCTTAATCACCACATGTTAATAAATCCGATATTCATAGCTCCATTCCTACCTTTTCCCTAAAATTCCAGACTTGTATAGCCAACTGCTTCCAAGGATCCTTAATAACCATATCCCAGAATTAGAGCTCTTCAATCATCACACACACACACACACACACACACACACACACACACACTGCCTCACCAGGCTTCTCTAATCTCAATAAATGGCACCCCCATCTATCCAGATATTCAAACCAAAACCTTCCTGGCCCCCACTCTCTATACCCACTCATCGGTGGGTGCTATCGGCCAACACAAATATTATCTCATTCATGTTCTCTACCTCCACCACCACCACCCTTCACCAATCCATCATTTACCTTGGCCACGGAAGAGCCTTCACACTTGGCCTCTTCTTTGCATTCTTTATACAGCAGAATATCTCTGCAAAACATAAATTAGCTATTTTGACATGACTTTTAACACATTTTCCACTGGAATGAAATCTGAACTCCCTACCATTTCCTGCAGGTCCTGAAATATGTCACCCCTTAATCTTTCCAAGTTCTTCTCAACACAGTTCCTCTTGCTCACTGTGCTTCAGCAGACCCATCTCCCTCTGTCCTTCCAATTTCCTAAACTCTTTTCCACATCAAGGCCTCTGTTCTTACTTTGTTATTCTGAGATGATCTTCCCCCAACTCTTTAAATGCTTGGCCCATTCTGCTCCTTCAGGGCTTGGCTCAAATACTACCTCCTTATAGATGCCTCCATGACTGCCACCCCATGGAACATGGTGCCTCCCAGTTCCTGGCATTAACGAGTATTCATGTAGTGCTTCCCAGGTGTTGTTATTAGTGCTTTTTATTGATTACCTCTTTTAATCCCTACCACCCTAGGAAGCAGGTACTCTTATTGTCATTATCTTACCCATCTTGGAAAAAAAACAAAAAAAAACAAAAAAAAAAGCAAGGACACTGAGCCCAAAGAGATAACAACTGTCCATAGTCAACTAATCCTGGGACTTAACCCTGTGCAACCTGGATCCAGCCTGGCCCCTTCCCCACCACACCCTCCTGCCTCTCTCATATTACTTGGTGTCTCTTTCCAGCACTTGTTACAATCTGGATATTGTCTTGTTTAGTTATTTCTGTATCATCATTCTCCTCAGTAGAATATGCATTAGTTCACTTTCATATTGTTATGAAGAAACACCCAAGACTGGGTAATTTATAAAGAAAAAGAGGTTTAACAGACTCACAGTTCCAGAGGGCTGGGAAGGCCTCACAATCATGGTGGAAGGCAAAGGAGGAGTAAAGGCACGTCTTCCATGGCGGCAGGCAAGAGGGCCTGTGCAGGGGAACTGCCCTTTAAAAAACCATCAGATCTCATGAGACTTATTCAGTATCACAAGAACGGCACGGGAAAACCCACTCCCATGATTCAATTACCTCCCACTGGGTCCCTCCCATGACACACAGGAATTATGGAAACTATAACTCAAGATGAGATTTGAGTGGGGACATAGCCAAACCATAACAGAATATAAGCAATGCGTGGACAGAGACTTCTTTTTTCCATCCCAGGATCCCCAGGGCCTGCCACATGGAAGGTGCCTGACCAATATTTGTGGCATGAATGAATAAGTGAATGAATGTAGATCAGGCGTAGATCAGGGAATGAGAACATTTCTATCAATAGCTGCTCTTATTTTGGTGCCAACAATTGTCACACATCTGTGTGACCACAGAACATATGAATGAATCATTTTTTTAAATGATTGAATAACATCATGTATGCTTTATATATTTTTTCAGAGCAGATTTACTATGCTGGGCCTGTCAATAATCCTGAATTTACCATTCCTCAGGTAAGATATTACTTAATTCTTGTATTAAATAGTTTGTTGCTGGAAGAAGTCTAGAAGAAGGGGGAGGGAAAGGAGGAGAAACCAAGAAGGAAGAGGAGGAGTTAAACAATTTAAAACTTATCCATAGGCCATCCCTGAGAAACCCTTTGTTCATAAAACTGCTGCTTCACCATGGGCACTTGAAATTTGTTGACACGCTGACTTTGTCATTTTGGCATTTAATATTTTACATGTCGGTGAACCTTAGGGAATCCTCCAAGTACAAACCTCCCACTGACAGGGATGCCGACGTCTTGTCCAGCAGGATTACAGCATCTGTGGGGTTCCATATGGCAGTGCTGCTGGGCTGTGTGGGCGGCACCACGCATGTGCTGGGACTGTGCTCAGGAGGCTGGCGGTTCAGAGAAAGGAAGATGCACAAGACACGGAGGCGTGAAGGTCCCCCGGTTACTGTCCTTTCACTGTTACTCATGAGCTGCCACTAAGTCAATAAAATGCCCATATCCTTAGCATTTGCTGGCAAAGCTCACAGCTCAGAGTAGAATTTTCCACTAATTCCTTTCTGTTCAAGATAATGTGACGTTATTAAATGGCTCAATTTACATCACTCTGCTATAAGCCATAAATGTTCAATGTGCTATCCCTCAGATAATTTTTTTTTTTTTTTTGAGACGGAGTCTCGTTCTGTCTCCCAGGCTGGAGTGCAGGGGCATGATCTCAGCTCACTGCAACCTCCGCCTCCCGGGTTCAAGCTATTCTTCCACCTCAGCCTCCCGAGTAGCTGGGACTACAGGCACGCACCAATACGCCCAGCTAATTTTTGGATTTTTAGTAGAAACAGGGTTTCATCATATTGGCCAGGCTGGTCTGAAGTCCTGACCTCGTGATCCACCTGCCTCAGCCTCCCAAAGTGCTGGGATTACAGGCCCCGCAGAGAATCTTATGGAATAATATAGAAAGGTTCACAAAAATGTGATCTTTTAAAAATGCATGCTGATGTATTTAGTACCTGTGAGATTTGATTATGCGTATATAATATATAGTGATCAAGTCAGGCTATTTAGGATGTCCATCACTGAATACATTTTTGTTAACTATAGTCACCCTACTCTGCTGTCAAACACTGAATTTATGTCTTCCATTAACTGTGTGTTTGTACCCTTCAATCCACTTCTCTTTATCCTCTCCCTCTCCTCCCCTCCCTCTCCACTCTGGTATCTATCTTTCCACTCTCTATCTCCACGTGATCATGTTTTTTAGCTCCCACAGATAATTGAGAATAAACAATATTTGTATTAGTTCCTGGCTTATTTCACTTATGATAATGACCCCCAGTTCCATCCATGTTGCCACAAATGATAAGATTTTATTCTTTTTTATGGCCATATAGTATTCCACTGTGTATATACACCACATCTTCTTTATCCATTAATCCATACATGGACACTTAGGTTGATTCCATATCTTTGCTATAGTGAATAGTGCTGCAATAAGCATGGGGGTGCAGTTGCAAAAATGTAACCACTTTAAATAGTTTTGTTTACAACCTGGTCCTTTCAGTTCTCCAAAACCTGTATATGGCTGAAGAAAAAGGTAGGTCTCTTTCTCCGTAAAGAATCTCTAACTTAGTTTCACCTCTGGGTTTGTTTCCTTTCTTTCCCAGCCTCTGTGTTCCTATGTCAGAGTGCCATCTTGCTACCATCTCGGATTTCCACTAGCATTGCTCTTGTAGCTGGGAAGTCTCCAGGCTTTTCCCTCTGGAAATCTCTAGAGTTTTCTCCTCAGGCCTTTCATTAAAATACAAAAGTTTTGCAAGAAAGAAAAACTACACCTCTCTTCACTTCTAGTATAAGGTACCTAAATTGTCCCAGAGAGTTCCATTTTTCTTTAAATCTTTGCTATTTGAATTGTTTTTCTTTCCCCATTGTCCTTCTGACCCTCCTCCCGACTAGAGGCTGACTTAAAATTTACTAACAATTGACTTTCACTTTTGCATTGTTGGCTTATTTTTAACCCAGTTACTCAGCAACTGTTATAAGATAGAGCGGAAAAGAACTTCTTAAAGTCAGAAAACCCCTTTGAAAGTAGGTTGAGGGGCCAGGCACAGTGCCTCATGCCTGTAACCCCAGCACTTTCAGAGGCCGAGGCGGACGGATCACTTAAGGTTGGGAGTTCAAGACCAGCCTGGCCAACATGGTGAAACCCCATCTGTACTAAAAATACAAAAATTAACAAGTCGTGGTGGTGGTGCCTGTAATCCCAGCTACTCGGGAGGCTGAAGCATGAGAATCGCTTGAACCCAAGAGGTGGAGGTTGCAGTGAGCCAAGATTACACCACTGCACTCCAGCCTGGGCGACAGAACAAGACTCCATCTCAAAAAAAAAAAAAAAAAAGGAAAAGAAAAAGAAAAAAGAAAAAAGATTGACCAGATATGTAAAAAAGCTTTATTTGAATCACCTTACCATGCAGGAAGGAAGTGCAGAACCTAAGTTCTTCAACTGCTGATGGTACTTAAGCAGATATTACCCAGTATGAGGGCATCGTATGTACAGAGAGAGAGCTGGAGGCCTTAATCCCAAAATGGGCTCCCTACACTGGTCGCAGGTCAGCCGTGGACGGCCTGCAATGCACAGAGGCTTTGCTTCTTAATATGGAACAGACACAGTTCAAAGCCTTTTGGTTGTAAAAGACCTACCCTGTATCACCTCCTCCAACCAAATCCTCCAGGGATGGGCTCCGGGCTAATGGCAGTTCCCATGTGGCCAAAAACACTCCCACTCAGCGCTCAGTCTCCAGGGCCTTGGTATTATTTCCCTCTGAACTCATCCAACCCCTTGGCACAGATTGAAGCCCTCCCTGGCATCCTCTGTCTATGCCTCCTGTTTTCTGAATGAGAATTTAGGGGATCTTTTAGGCCCCCGAAGCATGTGGACCACAACTCATAGGCACAGCCTGACCTGTGTATCGCCAAAGGTGCACCTACAAATTCCTAACTTGCAAACTTGTGCCCTCCTCAACAGCAGAAAAACTGCACTCAGTCCTTCCCTACCCTGGCCTCCTGGCCTCCCAGCACACACCTCCACCTGCCTCCAGCCTGGCACGCTTGCCTAAATACTCTTATCTCTTGTACCAGAGTCTGCGATGTCTGTAATTCATAATCTAGAACCCCTTCCTTCAAATACAACAGCTCCTCTCAGGCTCATAACATAGTAATGAAAAATTCATGTGGTGTTCAATACATTTGTAGGTGTGTACCTAAATGCACATAGAGATTTTAAAGAAAAGTACATGAGGAGGAGGAGAAGGATGAAACACAATGAGATATAAATTTGAGCCGGTCTTTACTCATAATTAATTCTCTAACATTTGGACTGCTTTGGTTATATTCCTAACACTGTTTCTAAAATTGCAGCTGCTCAATATTGGAAGAGTATGACTCATGGGAGCTTCTAGAATCATGGAATCACACCCCAGGCGCCATCCAGAGCACAGCCTGGCTCTCTTGAATACATTTCAGTGTCGGGGACTCCACTCTCTTTGGAAGCTCTGCTCATTGCTAGAAAGTTGTTCACTTCTAACAAAAACCACCTCTCATGCAGTTTCTCTCCGGTGGTCTCACCTACTCCTTCCCTCTTGCTTTGTACAGATTAAACTCCTTCTCCCGTTGGGTGACAGGCAGTTCAAAGATGTGCCAGCAGTCTCCTGGCCTCCTCTGCCACAGTCCCTCTGCTCTGCTTGTGACCCTCCCACCACCCCAGAGCATTTTCCTCTCCAGATCAGTGTCTACAAACACGTCACCGCTCTGTGGCTGCTGGGGTGCAGGGCTGGGGCGCTGGCAGCAAACAAAACCGGCATGGCTCTTCCACGGTCTTCACAGGACCTGGCTGCCCGGCGGCTTCTGCCAAGCTGACTGCAAAGGAAGGGAGACCTCCTCACAGCGTTGCTGCCAGCAAGGACCCCCAAAGGCAGCCATTCTTTCTGTGACGGGGCATTTTGGTTTTGTGCTGGTGAACTGTGCTCCCCGGGGTCTTCTCTGTCTCAGCATACAACCCTTTCTCCCTCCAGTTGCTCAGGCCAGGAGCCCTGGAGTCACCTTTAACCCATCTCTTTCTCTCCCACCCACTTGCATGTCCTCAGCGGATCCTATCGGCTGTTCTTTCAAAATTTCTCTAGCACCCAAACCCTTCCCCCACCTCCACCTCTAATCCAGGTCATCTTCATCTCTCACCTGGATTCCTGTAATCACCAGAGGGACGCTACTGACACAGGCGCCAGGGCAGGCCACCCTCTCCTGACCCCAGTTCCTTTCAGAGCGGAAGCTGATGTCCCCACCACAGCCTCTGAGGTCCTAAGAGTCTGGCCTCCTGTGTCACCCTAACTTCACCCCCACCATCCCCCGCTCTCCCTGCAGCCCCGCTCGCCTCCTTCTGCCCCTCTAAGGTGGGGGGCCCAACTCATAGCAGGACTGCACCTTCTTGCGTCTGCTTCAGGTCTTTACCTAAACGTCGTCATCTCAGCAGGGCCTCCTTTCACCACCCTGCTCAAAATTGCAGAGCAGCACTCACCTTGACCCACCCAGTGCTTCCATCCACTCCCTTCCTGCATGAGTTTTCTCCATGACACGAACACCTGACATACCATACGTAGTCACATATCTTAAGGCTGGTCTGTCTCTCCCAGAGATGCTGGAAGCTCCGCGGGGCAGTGGTTGGCTTGTCTTGTTCTAACGTTAGCCACAATGTCCAGAACATCACCCAGCACATAGAAGTTTCTCTGTAAATATTTGTTAAATGATTAATTGTACCGTGGGTCACACGTCTAATACTTGATCTGTGCCCCTTGCAGGGAGAATACCAGGTTTTGCTGGAACTGTATACTGAAAAACGGTCCACCGTGGCCTGTGCCAATGCTACCATCATGTGCTCCTGACTGTGGCCTGTAGCAAAACTCACAGCCAGCTTCATCTCACGGGACCTCCAAGCTCCTCTGACTGAACCTGCTGTGGGAGAAGAAGCAGCCGATGACAGACAGAGGCCCTACAAAGAAGCCCCCCAAAAAGTGCAGCTGCTAATTTTAGTCCCAGGACCAGACATCCCCAGAATCCACAGATGTAATGAAGTCCCCGAATGTATCTGTTTCTAAGGAGCCTCTTGGCAGTCCCTAAGCAGTCTTGTGGGTCCATCCTTTTTGTCTAATTGGTCGCCTCACACCAGACTCACCTGCTTTTCAACTTCTTAGGAGTGCTTCCTCACAGTTACCAAGAATAAAGGAAGCTGGCCACCATTGTTCATTGTGATTTGTTCAAAGAATCTTACTACAATGCTGTAGTTAAAAAGTCATTTCCTCCAGATGCAGTGCCGGATGCTGGTGCAGCATAAGCAGTTCCAAGAAATTCAGGAGGATGACAGCCTGGCTAAAATTAGAGCGCTGGGAAAATGTGCCATTGCTTCTCCTGGCCAGGCCCCCACCCTTGGACCATGAGGGCCTAGAAGCTGATGCAACCTCACGAATAGGGACATCATCCTCTCGCTTATCCAAACACTCATTTCACCTTCATCCCTCAAAGCGTGATTATACTTCACCTCAGCACACAATGGCATTCATTACTGCATTTATTAATTAATGCAAGGGATAACTCCTGAGCATTTAATGTGTATCAGGCACTGTGTTCTTAAGTTGTCTTTTACGCTGCTCTCCATAAATGAGCATGTTGCCTATCCTACTTCCAGAGTCATTTCTGCGGCCCTGTCTTCTCTCATGGGATGCACCGACCGCACCGTGGGCTCCATGGCCCCTTCACCATCCAATGCCCCTGTCCTTCCAGTGTCCCTGCTGGCCCTCTTGCTCCTGCTAAGGGGCTGGAGTAAGGTGGGTGAGTTGACACTATCATTCATAAAAATGCCACTATATTAGAGATTAAAGGAGAAAAAACTCCATAGTTTAAAAAACGGTAGTTGCTATTAATCACTATTTATACATCATTAAACCACCTAGAAGAGCAGGTCATAAATGCCTGGCGAACTTTAAAACCAGCATCTGAGGTTTTCTGGGTTATGAGGAGGCAAAATTACAGCAGTGTCCTCGCCTTGGCCATAATGCTTGAGAGAAAAGACGTGCATGGCCATACTAGGCTCAGGAACAAACCTCTGAACGTACATGGGGGTGACAGTGTTATGCACAAGAACAGCAAATGATTCCTCCCCGGGCCATTCCCTCTAGCTTGAGACATTCACCTCCCTCCCTTTTCAGTAATCATCACTACGAGTAGTAAAGGCCCTGGCTAGACTCTGCGTACGCACATGTTCTAACAGTATAAGACAGCTGTCACAGCCTTCCAAAGACACAGGTGGAACTCAGCCAGTCCCTTCCCAATCCCTTTGCCCTCTCCTTTAAACTGACTGTGTGGGTGTGTGTGCATGAGAGAGAGAGGGAGAGAGAAAGTTTCAGATTCTATAGGTCTGTGTTTAACTGGAATTTCCATATATGGAGCCTATCCTAGTCATCGCTGAATATACAAGTACACGGCAGTTTCACTAAGGACATGACTTGAGAGGGGGAAAAAAATGTTTCTTTGTCCCACAATATTTTTTTTCTTAGTGTCCTGTCTTGGGCCTTAAATTTCACTATTAGTTTTATTCCAGCAAGTTGAAAACCTTTTTCAACGTTCAGGAGTCTCCTCTTGGAATACGAACAGCCCTGGTAGGAGAAATGCTGGAGTCTTTGTCATTATTTAACACTCTGGCAGGATGTAGTAACTAAGATGACTTTGAAAGTGCCAGCCCAGAAAGCAGGGGTGTCAGGGGAGGTGGGTGACCCAAAGCCGAGCCGTCTCGGGCTAGCCATTGTGCGGTTACTGAGGAGGCGGGTGTCAAAGTGCCCAGACAATCTACCAAAGAAACTAAATTGACTTCTCCCATAAAGAGAATTGCTACTGTTTCAAAAATCACTATCAAGAACTCCAAAAATTTGTCCTCAATAAACTTTTCTGAAGAAAAAAATAACAGTTTGGTTCAGGATGACCCAGTGTCCCCACAATTAAGGAACTATTGTGAAAATCAGCCAGCTTCAGACATTTGAGTGCCCATCCACCCTTCTTTATATTTGGAGGGCAATTTCAATCGTTATGTATAGAACGTTTCAAAAAATATTTTTGAGGGACGTTCCAGTGCCCAAGGGAAGCTTTGTCAGGCTAGAGTCTAGGCAGAATGTTGAAAAGCCTCTCAGGACGGTGTGATTGCATCTCTGAGAATGTTCTGGCTATGAGGAACAGAGAACTCAACTGAATCTGGCATATGCTTAGCGGGCTAGGTTGCCTCCCATGACCACTGAGTCCCAGGGTCGTTTAGGTGTCAGCCAGTGTTTGCTGCTGAGGCTCATTCATCATCATCCCTTCACCTCCATTTCTCCACAGTTCTTCCACCTCAGGTCTCCTGGAATATTGCCTTTACCCTCAGACAGTCTGTCCCACAATAAAAGATCATCACATCCACACTGTCCCTACTACAGAAGGCAAAAGAGAGCTTTATCCCAAAACCCTGTCACTCATTCTGACTAGAATGGCTTGGGTCACATGACCTCTCCTTGTAACCACATCAGACCAATCTGGTTCAACTTTTAGGTCATAAAGTTGTGAGTTGTTTTTCGGTTGCCATGGACCCCAGGTTGAAGGTTATGTAACCCGAGCATGCCCAGATGAACCAAGTGTGCAACTACAGAGGGACCTAAATGCAAGACTGAGGAGTGGGAACTTCATTAAGAAGTGAACATGGCATGTCAGGATCCAGGATCCAATCATATCAGCTTCCAGCATCACCCCATGGCAGGATCCAATCAGATCATGCCTCCCAGCATCACCTCATTGCAAGATCCAATCAGATCATGCCTCCCAGCATCACCTCATTGCAAAATCCAATCAGATCATGCCTCATGACCCTGTGCTTATAAAACCCGACCTAAACCCCAACTTGCAGAGACAGGTTGGAGTGTTTCCTCCTGTCTCCTTGCCGTTAGACTTGCAGTAAACCTTTTCTTTTCTTAAAAGCCAGTGCAGTGGTATTGGCCACTATGCACATTAGGCAGTGAGCTCATTGCTTGCTCAGTAACATCCTGACCAATCACTTTGGCCCTGTCCTGATTGGCTTAGCCTATGTCACATGCCCCACCCCTAGAGCTGGATCAGGGTTATTTCCACTAGAACCACACATATCCGTAAGTGGAAACTGGGGAAGTTGCCAAAGGGTAAAGGGAGAGAAAGGGCATGTCTCAAACTAGGCCAAAGGACGTGTCCAGATCATGTCTTGAATTAGGCCAGTTTTAAGTTCTAATTCTCCCCTAGCTGTTCACTGGGCAAGTGACTTTTATTGTCTAAGCCCCAGTTTTCTCATCTGTAGGTGCTGACTATAAAATAGTACCTATCTTGTAGAGACACTGTGAGAATTAATGAGAGAATGCATGTAAAATGCTGAGAATAGGGCCTGGCATGTCATTCAATTAAAATGAGTCATTATTATGTTAAGGTGGGTGTTCACTTGTGGTGCTAAAGCCTCCTTTCCTAATTTACCTCTCCCATCCTCCTATATCGTCAGGGCAAACACTCCTAGAAGCCCAGCTCTCACCCATAAGCCCACATTCTTTTCTGGGTCCTGAGATGGTCCCTTGGCATCTTGATTTCTTCTAAGTGTAGCTAGTTTTATTAGACCTGGCATGGGGCCGTGTTCCCTGGGCCATGAACTCTGAAAAGAATTTAAGGAAAACATTTGGATACACTTTCCCCCACCCCCCAAACAGAAACAATATAACCAGGCCAAAAGGGCCTATGAAAGAAAATGTGGGCCAGGTGTGGCGGTTCACTCCTGTTATCCCAGCACTTTGGGAGGCCAAGGCGGGCAGATCACCTGAGGTCAGGAGTTCAAGACCAGCCTGGCCAACATGGTGAAACCCGTCCCTACTAAAAATACAAAAATCAGCCTGGTGTGGTGGCACATTCCTGTAATCCCAGCTACTCAGGGGGCTGAGGCAGGAGAATCACTTGAACCTGGGAGGCGGAGCTTGCAGTGAGTCAAGATCACTCCATTGCACTCCAGCCTGGGCAACAGAGCAAGACTCTGTCTCAAAAAAAAAGAAAAGAAAAGAAAAGAAAGTCTGCATTTTTTAAAATTATATTTGTTTCCTGCACACAAAGACAGACACCCAAGGCGTGCAGAACCAAATGTGACATCTACAAATGTAACAATGACGTCTGCTTTCAGGAAAGATAACCCAAAATAGCTAGCATGAGAACAGAAAGGGCCACATCCTGATTATAACCCAGACTCATTAGAATGGGGGAGTTTATTATCTCAAGAGTTCAATCACAGGTTTAAATTGGCTATATTTTTCTCAATCAGCAAAACTAGTTAGTCTACCTAATTTTCCAATCATTTCATCAGGCAAGGAGGGGTCCCATAGGGTTTATAAAAGAGTTATTTTCATCTAGTTTGTAAATGTCTTCAGTCACTTAGTTTGGAACAGAAGCCTTCAGTTGCATTCAAATGCTCTGGCCTGAAATATTCTTCTCCCCTTGCTCCCAGCTTTCTTTTCACGTGTGACACAAAACCACATTCTTTCCTCCAGTGGTTTGGTCTCCTCACTTCTCTGGAAAAGGGTATACATCAATGTTCCTTTAACCAAACACAATGATACCTTCTGCCAGCTGGTATTTTTCTGGATTTCCCTGAAACCCAGCCAAGCACGGGAAGACAGAAAACACCCCTGCCACCAAAGCCTTGATCGTATCATTGCAGCTTTCTTTCCTTTTCTTCACTCAGAAGTGGTACGAGAAAATTCAAGAAAGAACCAGAGAACATCTTTGACATAATCAAGGGGATGCAATAAGGTTTCCACATAAAGATAAACGACAAAGATTAAAATATGTGAGTGCAGAAAGATAACATCTGAGAAGGCAGAACAACAACCAGGATAATAATTGTGTAAAAGCTAACAATGATTTGTGCAGGATCTCTGCGCCAGCATTGTGCTCGGCCTGCATCTCAATACTTAATCCCCAGAACAGCCTGTGGGTGCGTAACACGATTGTCCACGTGACAGAAGAGGAAGTCGGGGTTTAGAGAAGTTGAGGAACTGGCCTAAGGTTCCCCAGGCTTGTGAGCTCCATCAGTGAGATTCAGACAGATTCAAATCTGTCTCACTCCAGATCCAGGCTCTTTCTCCCCGATGTCGCTGGGCTGCTTGGAAAGACACCATGTAATAAAGAAACACTTCACGGTTTTAGCTGCAGGCTTGCAGAATGTGTTAATGCAAAGCAGCAAACAAGCTAAAAACACAGGTAGGCTAATGACAGTTTAGATTAACTCACTGATGACAGCACAGAAGGAAAAGGGATCACCAATACTAGTCAGTTTCATGATTTGTTCACGCTCTTCCACAAAAACTTTTGGTCACTCACTGTCAAACCCACCTGGGTGAATGTGCCATAAAAGCATAGTCTGGCTTTTTCACCGTTTCCTTCTTTCCCTTCATAAATCTTTATTCAGCACCTACGTTTTGCCGGGCATTGTGTTAAGCACAATACATCAAATATAAAAAAATGAATAATATATAATATAATCCCAATTCAAACTCAGCTTATCTTTTAGGAAAAGGGAAGAAGAAGAGTATCAAAAATCTCTTGTGATGGAGAAACCATGGTAAGCAACACAAGACAAGAACAAAGCACTGTGGGTGGCTTTGAGGCGGGGATGACACGTGGCTTGGCTTCATGGTAGAAGGAGGGAGCACGCTGGCCCTAGAAGGTTGGCTGGGACACTGGAGGTCCTGGTGCCTACATGTTGTGGACAATCTCCTAAGGGCAGAGGCAGAGTGGGAAGGAAGGCCTGGGGTCCCATCTCCCTCCCTAGCCCCTTGGTTTTGTGGCAGAGCCTCCTGCAGAGAGAAGCAACAGCTAGGAGCTAACTTTATGAGGGATTCAGAGAAATGCCAGAGCACCTGCAGCATTTCATGGGGTCCCAGTGGCAAGGTGGCATAAGGGCAGGAGGGTAGGGCACAGCATAGCTTGTTCCATGAACCTGAAGGGACCCAGAACACAGGGAAGGGAAGGCCAGCAAGGCCTAGACACAGGCCCTTTGCTACCCCGGTACACACCATAGCAGAGACTCTGTCTTCGTGCACCTTAAGCAGCTTGGACAGCAGCCTCAGGAGGAAGGAGCTAAAGGGTGAAATAGGAAAGAAGTGCTCTTGAGCTGACATGAGGCTTCCAGAAATAAGCAGGGCAGGGAGCGAGGAGAAACTGAAGATTCTGTACCATGCAAGTAGGGTTATAAGTCAGTGATTTTTAATTATGTTATTATTGCTGAAATGTCTTCATATGAACCCACAGACTGTTGACACAAAAGAAACTCCTATTTCCCTGGTGAACAGGTTTTCCCTCCCTTGGAGCCACCCCAGAATGGGGATCCTATTTCCTTACCAAGCACCCCACCCCAGCTCCTTCCGCTCCCCGCGCTGCTGTCTGGAAGGCCATGCGCATCTACTTGTAATGCCCGCACTATCCCTATACTGTTATTTTCCCCTCTGCTCTCAGACAGACAGGTTGCATTGCTTGCGATCCTCCAGACAATCAGCGTTAGAACCTGTTGTCTGTTCATATTCTGGAGCACACCCCGAGCCCCCACAGCACATCCGTTGACCTCACTCCCAAAGCAAATTGGGGGGAGAGGGCCCTAAAGGAGAAGAAGCTTGAAGCTCAAAGTAATTTACAAAGTATTCAATGTTTAAATATATGACAAAGTAGAATTTGTAGAAGATTGTCCTAGCAACCCAGACAAAACATATAACTAACATTTATTAGCCAGTTACTTAGCGCTTTATTGCATCCCTAACTTTCTGGCTCCATAAAAACCACATATGGTCTTGACTTCAGGTGCATAAGCTGAAAGCCCTGAGTAAGAGTGCAGGCTAGCAAGTTAACTGGGTGGTGGTAATTTAGCTAATGCCATGGGAGTACACATTAGGGTTGCCAGAGAACCAGGCTCCAATTGTGTAACAGGGACTCCTTGGCAGACTTCCAGCTGGTAGAATGGCCTTGGTTTCAAAAGAAACAAATGCTTCCTCATGCAGCCAGAGCCAAAGACCATGCTACATAGATGGCACTTTGCATGAATTAGAAAAAGGTGCCCTTTCTGGGTAGAACCTGAGTCAGTGGCAGATGACTGAGCAGGCAGGTGGTATGTTTGTGCAAAACAAAGAGGTATCCCAAGACACACAGCCTGTGCAAGGGAGCATAGGCTGGATTTCAGTCCCCATTCTCCCCTTGGTCAGGGGTCCTTGTGCAGTCCACAGGCTACACAACCTCACCCAGCAGCAACGGCTTTGGAATCTTTTCTTGCCATGTGGCACATGTTGATGAAAGAGGAAGGGTTAAATAAAGGGAGTATTCTGCCTTTAGAAGACATCAGTCTTTCCTGTTGATAAATGTTCCCTGATCTCATCAGTACCCCACCCTATTCAACCTCGACTTGTCACTACCAAACATCCCCCAACCTTAATCAGGAAACATCTCAGCTAAAAGCGATCCTGGAGGCAGAACTGCTAAGTGAAACAAACACGTTGGCTTCCCTTCTAATCTCGCTTGTTCCTGTCATTTTTTATATATACTTGGAACTGTCCTTGTTCAATTATAACAACAAAAAGTCATTAACGCCCTTGCACCATAACAGGCATGTTCTTTTCCAAATAAAACGACTACTCCATCATTTTTGGGATATCACTCCCTCGAAGCAGCTGTGCTTCTCTGATGCGCACGCTAATTTAAGGGCCCCTCCTTGAAACCCCCGAAGCACCCTGCCCTTGCCTTGCCCATGGCCAGGCACCAACCACACTCTACTATCATTGCTTGTTGATGTGTTTGTGTCCCTAACTAGGACATGAGCCACTCGAGAGCAGAAACAGGATCTGTTCACCTCTGAACAAATCCCCAGCACTTAGTTTGAAATATTTGTTGAATGAATGGCCTAAGGAAGAACAAGAACATTGGATTGTGTGCTGTATTAATATTCCAGAGATGCTGCAACAAAATACCACAAAAAGTGTAGCTTTAAACAACAGACATTTATTGTCTTATCCCTCTGGAGGCCAGAAGCCTGACATCAAGGTGCTGGGTGAGCCATGCTCCCTCTGAAGCTGCGAGGGAAGGGCCTGCTCCCGCCTCTCTCCTGCTTCTGGGAGCCCTGGGCATTCCTCGGTTTGTGGATGTATTTCTCCAATCCTTCACTTATCGCCTTCTCCCTGTGTGTCTTTGCTTCATCTTCCTTATGTGCCTGTCGATCTCAGTGTCCAAATTTCCCCTTTTAGCAAGGACATCAATCATACTGGATTTGGGCCCACGCTCATGGCTTCATTTTAATTTGATGACCTCTCAAAGACTCTATTTCCAAATACAGTCACATTCTAAGGCAGTAGGGCTGAAGACAGCAATATAACTGTTGGAGGGGCACACAACTCAAGCCGTAACATTCACCTATGATCTGGCCAAGATTTTCAGGTGGGTAATTTTACTAAATCTTCATGGCAATCCCACAAAGTCGGTACTATAACCTTCATTATTTGTAATATTAGGAAGCTGAAACTCAATGAGAGTTTACAGGGTATTCATTGGTGAAGCCGGGTTTAGTACCCATGTAGGTGACTTCAGGACTAGACAACCAGACTGTCGTGGTGGAGATCAGCCGGGGCTTGAGTACAGATGGGCCTCAGTTCAAGTCCTTCCTCTGCCACCTACAGGCCATGAGACATCTGTTTCCTCGTCTGTTAAGCAGAAATGATGACAAGACAATGGCCATATCATGTGCAGCACAGAGACTGACAAAAATTGGCTCATATCATATCATGATATGGCTCTAACTAGGTCTTCCCAAGGAGTGGTCCTGGGGACAGTAGCGGAATTCAGTTAGAAATGAGGCCGCAGCCTCCAGCTTACCTCTGTGGAGGGTGAGACGTACAGAGCCCAGCTGTCCTTTTGTGCATGCAGAGGCCATCTGTTTCCTTTCCTATCCTCCCTCCTCCAGCGCTCTGTGCTCAGATATGATATTCTCAGGAGAAGAGGAATGGCAGGAGCAGCTGCCCAGCCCAGACCCCTCCCAGCTGCCATAGCATTCCACGCGCTCTCTATACCTGCCCCTTTCTCTTCTTAGTCCCTATTGTCACTGTTTCATAAAGACGAGTAGCAATGGGGTGACCTTCATGCAACCACAAATCACAGAAACCCTTCAGAGGTCCTTTCAGATAAAGGATACCTTAAGTAGGAGAACTGACCACCGAGACCTCTAAAATTCCCAGCAAAGCAAAACCCATACTTTCTTTGGTGGTATCTTTAGTAATAGCAATCGTACAGTACTAAAATTGCATGTAACCCACGTCCTTATGCCTTTTTTTTCTTTCTTTTCCCACTTTTCTTAAAGCGGTATAAACCTGAGAGCATGTTGCCATGAAAAACAGAGAGGGGTTGAGTCTCACCTCCATCACATGCTGGCTCTGTGACCTTAGGCAAAGCTACTTAACTTTTTTATGTGTCAACTTCCTCATCTGCAAAATGGGCTCACAATTTCTGCCTCCCAGATTGTGGAATATGTAACATGCCACGCTTGGTAAGGACTCAGTGGATATTATTCCCTCTTCCTTCTCCTGAAGTCATTTTTAACTGCATGCATTAAAACAAGCACATATTTACATACAACATTAGAACAATTGTAAATATAGTCAAGAAGAAAATGTGGACTCTACATTCACTGATGCAACTTGTATCTTAAAAAAATAGAAAGATCAGCTTGGGAAGATGAAAAAGTTCTGGAGACAGTGGTGATGGTTACACAATGTGAATGTGCCTAATGCCAGAGAACATTAAGAAATGCTTAAAAAGGGTAAATTTATGTTCTACATATTTTACCAAAATGTAAAGTACTGAATATTAAAATATTTAAATTAAAACTGCTTTAACTAAAAAAAAAACAAAAAAAACAAAAAAAAACAACAGTTCATTCTGAGCTTATTTTCCTTTTCCTTACTGGGCAAGAAGAAGAAAATGGATCCATGAATGATTAATACTTGAAGACTTTCCCTATAATTTAACATTTTTCACAAAGCATTCACTATTGTATAAGCCTATTCAAATTTCTTTGATCCTGAAATGCCGACAGACATTGATACTATAATAGAAACTTATTCAAATGCATTCTTTACATTTTCTCAAAATGCTTTTTTGCTTGTTTGTTTGTTTTTGAGACAGAGTCTCGCTCAGCTGCCCAGGCTGGAGGGCTGTGGCACAATCTTAGCTCACTGCAACCACCAGCTCCCTGGTTCAAGCGATTCTCTTGTCTCAGCCTCCTGAGTAGCTGGGATTACAGGCATCCACCATCATGCCCGGCTAATTTTTGCATTTTAGTGGAGACAGGGTTTCACCATGTTGGCCAGGCTGGTCTTGAAGTCCTGACCTCAGGTGATCCACCCGCCTCGGCCTCCCAAAGTGCTAGGATTATAGGCGTGAGCCACCGCACCCTGCCCTGCTTTGTTCTTTATAACTGTACGCTTAAAATGGTTAAGATGGTAAATTTTATGTTATGTGTATTTTACCACATTTTAAAAAGTCTTTGTGGATTTTTTATTTCAACTATCGATTAAGAAATGAAAATAGAAATTCTGAAAAGAGAAGCTTTGGTGAAGTAAGTGTGAAGTCTTTTAGTAAATTCTTAGGTACTTTTAATCAGATCTTCTGCTTCTAATGGTCAGACGAGACAAGGAAGGTCAAAAGGCCAGCCTGTCTGAATGCGCCTTCCTCTGGCTTGGGATCCAAGCCAGGTTTTCTGTCTTTTTTTCTTTGTCACTTTCCCCTGTAAATCTCCCTTTTTAGTCGGTTTTCCAGTAGCTCTTCGACAGCTCAGCTGCCCCGTAAGCATCTGCAGCGGTAGCTTTTCTACACGATTAATCTACCTCCCTCACAGTTCCTGGACAGCACAAGGTGATTTGACTGCCATCTACTCGAGAAGGGGCCCGCAGGGCTACAAGTCTTCAGGTTTAGACAATACATCCAGATCACTTACACACAGTATTATGTTTGTATCCCTGGAAGATTGGATTTCTCTTAAACGTTTCCAATTTTTAGTCAATGCCTCTATTCTGCCCTTCTGCTTGTAGAAAACAGCTTACCAGATGGACTCTCATGCCAACACCGAGGCTGAAATCCACGTTAAGAGGGTAAATAGGAACTTGGCTGAGCCAGGCTCAGTCCCATGTGCTCCCAGGGCCCTCTTAGCTCTCCATAATCACATGTATGGGGATCCTGGGGGCTGAAAGAGAAGAGGTGGGATGTCTAAGCAGCCGTATGGCTCTGCCCAGACAAAGGGTCGCAGACAAGGGGAAAAGACCACGTTAGCAGGTGGAAACTAGCAGCCCATCAGAGATGGCTTGCAAGATTGTAGATAAAGAGATAGAGAATGCAAAGTGCTCAGTACAACACGTCACGTCACACATTCACAGCAAATAAACACTCGGCAATGGGAACTATCACATGACCTGGGATGTACTGATATCCCATCAAGAATGTGTGTTGGGCTCAGCATTTAACCCCAAAATAGCATACCTTAATTAAGCATTTTATGACCCAACTACAGACCCAGTGGTCTTTCTTCACAGAGTTTAGAAAAAGAGAACCAGAGGAGTCAGAATTTGTGTATCTGAAAGATGGGCCCACAGGGGAATCACCAAGTGGAATGAAGGTTCTTGTTTTAATTCTGTGATCGCTAAGCAGCCTTCCAGTTGTGACTTGGTTTCCCACATGAACTCCTGCCAAGGAGGAGGGCAGGCACAGTGTCAAATCCTGGAGTCCTTCTATAAAACTGGGAGTGGGTTCAAGGTTGGAGTTCCAATCCTGCCATCGATAAGCTGCCTAACTCTGAGTTTGTATTTTGACCTCTCCGGGTCTGTTTCTTGGACTAAATTATCTCAAAATACCTCTTTTGCCCTAACATCCTGTAACTGTGAACATCCCAGTCCACTGTCAGTTACATCTTTCACAGAAACTATATGAACTCCGTATTCTCCTTTTATTAATTGGCCTGTCCTGAATTTGACTTAAATGACCCGCTTGCTCTGATTCTGGTTATTCCAGGGGGAAATGATAAAAGTTTAGTTTGTGGACTTATTAGACTGAGAGGAAAGCCCCACCTCCTGGAAGGACACCCAAAATTGAGTCATTGTGTCTTTAAATTCTTCAAATACAAAAATCTCAGCCTCTTTTCCATCTGAAAAATAAAAGTGAAGCCAAACTTCAGTTTGCAAAGAATGATTGAGTATTCAAAAAATAACCTCATGAATTATACATTTGAGTAAGCACAAGTTATACTATTCGTTTACTTTACATGTGTCACTAGGTTGCATATTTATACTACCAGTCAGGAAGAAGAAAATGTATTCTCTTTAGTTTTGTTCTGTTACTGGCTTGGTCTTCCTCCAGAGCTCCCACCTATCGGGACAGAGGAAAGATCGTTAATATAGAGACTGGTTTTTAACCTTAGATGCAGTAATTTAAATAGTCTCTTTGGTACTCATTTTTGGGGGAATGCTATCTCCGTGCCCTTTTGCCATGCCCATGCCTTCCAAGGTGGTGTCTGGTATATGGGGGAGGAGGCCTCTCATGACCTCATGATGGTGGGATGAAAGGGCTTGGGGACATAGGACTATCCTCAGCTCCTCACTTGATTGTCTTGGCAGTATAGTAGTATAGTAGACTGGCAGTATAGTACAGTTGACTTAATCTTGTCTGTTGAATCTGCCAGTATGCTGATGACGTATGTGGCTCACAAACCTGTGCCCATTCTTTCCCAATAGGGTCTCCATTGACTTGGTCCTTTCTCAGCTGTCACTGGTCAATAGACCACTGAGGCCGAGTACCCTGGCCGAGACTCTACAGCTGAGCCTCACATCTTACCACAGTTGGCCCTATGGCAGAGTCACTGACTTTACACTCAGCATTTATGCCATATAAGAATCAACATAGGGGTTGAGAGTGTTAAGTAGACTAGTTCTGTATTCAACCATCTCACACCATCATGTTAGATCACCCCTAAGTCCCTACATACTGGCCTAAGTCCCTGCATACTGGCCTAAGTCCCTGCAAGGCCTCTTCCCCAGTGTTCTAAATGGCAAACACAGAAAGCATGCCCAACCCTTCTATCCATTCCTGTGTTCTCCTTGCTTTATCTGTCACAGTGGTGTGCTGGTAGTATAACAACAGGCTTTCCAGAAATTTATAGTGTTTTCCAGTTACCATGGTATAAATATTCCCACCATGTCCATCTCAAGATGCTAGCTATTTGAGGGGTCTGTCCCAAGATGGTCAAATAGGAACAGCTCCAGTCTGCAGCTCCCAGCATGATTGATGCAGAAGATGGGTGATTTCTGCATTTCCAAATGAGGTACCTGGTTAATCTTATTGGGACTGGTTGAACAGTGGGTGCAGCCCACGGAGGGCAAGCTGAAGCAGGGTGGAGTGTCACCTCACCCAGAAGCACAAGGGGTTGGGGGATTTCCCTTTCCTAGCCAAGGGAAGCCATGATAGACTGTACCTGAAAAAACGAGACACTCCTACCCAAATACTGCACTTTTCCCACAGTCTTAGAAACTGGCAGACCAGGAGATTCTCTCCCATGCCTGGCTCGGCAGGAGCCCATGGAGCCTTACTCACTGCTAGCGCAGCAGTCTGAGATCAACCTGCGAGGCTGCAGCCTGGCGGGGGGTGGTGGGTGGGGGGAAGGTGGTGTCTGCCATTGCTGAGGCTTGAGTAGGTAAACAAAGCATCTAGGAAGCTCGAACTGGGCAGAGCCCACCACAGTTCAGCAAAGCCTATGGCCTCTGTAGACTCCACCTCTGTGGGCAGGGCATAGCTGAACAAAAAGCAGCAGAAACTTCTGCAGACTTAAACATCCCTGTCTGACAGCTCTGAAGAGAGCAGTGGTTTTCCCAGCATGGTGTTGAACTCTGAGAATGGACAGAGTGCCTCCTCAAGTGGGTCCCTGACACCCATGTAGCCTAACTTGGAGACACCTCCCAGTAGGAGCCAACAGACACCTCATACAGGCAGGTGCCCCTCTGGGATGAAGCTTCCAGAGGAAGGATCAGACACTAATATTTGCTGTTCTGCAATATTTGCTGTTCTGCAGCTTCCGCTGGTGATACCCAGGCAAACAGGGTCTGGAGTTGACCTCCAGCAAACTTCAACAGACCTGCAGCTGAGGGACCTGACTGTTAGAAGGAAAACTAACAAACAGAAAGGAATAGCATCAACATCAACAAAAAGGACATCCACACCAAAACCCCATCTGTAGGTCACCAACACCAAAGAACAAAGGTAGATAAAACCACAAAGATGGGGAGAAACCAGAGGAGAAAAGCTGAAAATTCTAAAAACCAGAGTGCCTCTTCTCCTCCAAAGGATCACAGCTCTTGCCAGCAATGGAACAAAGCTGGACGGAAAATGACTTTGACGAGTTGACAGAAGTAGGCTTCAGAAGGTTGGTAATAACAAGCTTCTCCAAGCTAAAGGAACATGTTCTAACCCATCGCAAGGAAGCTAAAAACCTTGAAAAAAGGTTAGATGAACGGCTAACTAGAATAAACAGTGTAGAGAAGAACTTAAATGACCTGATGGAGCTGAAAACCATGGCATGAGAAGTTCGTGACGCATGCACAAGCTTCAGTAGCCAATTCAACCAAGTGGAAGAAAAGATATCAGTGACTGAAGATCAAATTAATGAAATAAAGCAAGAAGGCAAGGTTAGAGAAAAAAGAGTAAAAAGAAACAAAGCCTCCAAGAAATATGAAACTATGTGAAAAGACCAAATCTATGCTTAATTAGTGTACCTGAAAGTGACAGGGAGAATGGAACCAAGTTGGAAAACACTCTTCAGGATATTATCCAGGAGAACTTCCCCAACCTAGCAAGGAAGACCAACATTCAAATTCAGGAAATACAGAGAATACCACAAAGATACTCCTTGAGAAGAGCAACCCCAAGACATAATTGTCAGATTCACCAAGGTTGAAATGAAAGAAAAAGTGTTAAGCACAGCCAGAGAGAAAGGTCAGGTTACCCCAAAGAGAAGCCCATCAGACTAACAGCAGATGTGTCGGCAGAAACTCTACAAACCAGAAGAGAGTGGGGACCAATAATCAACATTCTTAAAGAAAAGAATTTCCAACCCAGAATTTCATATCCACCAAACTAAGCTTCATAAGTGAAGGAGAAATAAAATCCTTTACAGACAAGCAAATTCTGAGAGATTTTGTCACCAGCAGGCCTGCCTTAGAAGAGCTCCTGAAGGAAGCACTAAACATGGAAAGGAATGACCAGTATCAGCCACTGCAAAAACATGCCAAATTGTAAAGGCCATTGATGCTTTGAAGAAACTGCATCAATTAACAGGCAAAATAACCAGCTAACATCATAATGACAAGATCAAATTCACACATAACAATATTTACCTTAAATGTAAATGGGCTAAATGCCCCAATTAAAAGACACAGACTGGCAAATTGGATAGTGTCAAGACCCATCAGCGTGCTGTATTCAGGAGACCCATCTCACCTGCAGAGACACATAGGCTCAAAATAAAGGTATAGAGGAAGATCTACCAAGGAAATTGAAAGCAAAAATAAAGCAGGGGTTGCAATCCTAGTCTCTGATAAAACAGACATTAAACCAACAAAGATCAAAAGAGACAAAGAAGGCCATAACACAATGGTAAAAGTATCAATTCAATAAGAAGAGCTAACTATCCTAAATATATATGCACCCAATACAGGAGCACCCAGATTCATAAAGCAAGCCCTTAGAGACCTACAAAGAGACTCAGACTCCCACACAATAATAGGAGACTTTAACACCCCACTGTTAATATTAGACAGATCAACAAGACAGAAGGTTAACAAAGATATCCAGGACTTGAACTCAACTCTGCACCAAGTGGACCTAATAGACATCTACAGAACTCTCCACCCCAAATCAAAAGAAAATACATTCTTCTCAGCACCACATCGCACTTATTCTAAAACTTACCATATAATTGGATGTAAAGCACTCCTCAGCAGATGTAAAAGAACAGAAGTCACAACAAACTGTCTCTCAGACCACAGTGCAATCAAATTGGAACTCAGGATTAAGAAACTCACTCAAAACTACACAACTACATGGAAACTGGACAACCTGCTCCTGAATGACTACTGGGTACATAACGAAATGAAGTCAGAAATAAAGATGTTCTTTGAAACCAATGAGAAAAAAAGATACAAAGTACCAGAATCTCCAGACACAATTAAAGCAGTGTGTAGAGGGAAATTTATAGCACTAAATGCCCACAAGAGAAAGCAGGAAAGATCTAAAATCGACACCCTAACATCACAATTAAAAGAACTAGAGAAGCAAGAGCAAACAAATTC